GGGTATCCAGCCGAATGGCCATGTCGACAAGTTGGTCAAAGGTCAACGAGGTGTCCCTGCACGCCAACTCTCGCTGGACGTCCTCCCGGAGGCTGCAACGGAAGTGGTCTATAAGGGCCCGCTCATTCCACCCTTCATCGGCCGTTAGAGTCCGGAATTCCAAGGCAAAGTCCTGGGCGCTCCTCATCCCCTGTCGGAGGTAGAACAGACGCTCCCCCGCCGCCTTCCCCTCTGGTGGATGGTCAAACACAGCACGGAAGCGGCGGGAGAACTCCGCATAGGTAGTGGTAGCGGCGTCCATTCTCCTCCATTCGGCGTTGGCCCACTCCAACGCCTTGCCGGTGAGACAGGAGATGAGGGCTGAGACGCTCTCGTGTCCCGAGGGCGCCGGGTGTACGGTGGCGAGGTAGAGCTCCACTTGCAGCAGGAACCCTTGACACCCGGCAGCGGAGCTGTCGTACGCCCTCGGGAGCGAGAGCCGAATCCCACTGGGTTCCGGAGATGGGACAGGAGGACTGACCGATGGGGATGGTTCGGTAGGTGGGGTCGTGGGTACCCCGCTGGTTTCCCATCGGTGGAGAGTGTTCATCACCCCCTCCAGGGCATGACAGACCTGGTTAATCCGGTCCTCCTGCCCACGAAGACGTTCCTCCATACCTGCTGTTGGCGCGGTCGCTCCTGCTGATTCCATGGGTGATGTGTGATTCTGTCAGAGTGCTGTGTGTGGATGAGTGAAAGGAATCAAGCGCAGGAACAAGGATGACTTCAACAGACTTTAGTAAGGTCCAACACAGGAAAAATGAGTCGCCAACCCAACCGGGCGGCGCGAACAATTACGCACAAACACAGTGCGGAAAAACAAGAAAAGCGCACGCAGTGCGAACTCTCGAAAAATACAACAACGAGAGATACAAACTCCTCGGAGGCAGGCTGACAATTAACAATCACACATAACACCTGACCCAAACAAACGAAACTAAATAGGGAACACAATCAAACACAAACAAGGGACAGGTGTTACAAAGAGACAAAACCAAACGAACATGAAACATAGAACGGTGGCAGCTAGTACTCCGGAGACGACGACCGCCGAAGCCTGCCCGAACAAGGAGGAGGAGCAGCCTCGGCCGAAACGGTGACAAAATTATATCAATAAGCCTATCAGAAGCTTCTAAAGCCATGACATCATTTTCTGGAATTTTCCAAGCTGTTTAAAGGCACAGTCAACTTATTGTATGTATACTTCTGACCCACTGGAATTGTGATACAGTGAATTATAAGTGAAATAATCTGTCTGTAAAGAATTGTTGGAAAAATTACTTGTGTCATGCACAAAGTAGATGTCCTAACCGACTTGCCAAAACTATAGTTTGTTAACAAGAAATGTGTGGAGTGGTTGAAAAACGAGTTTTAATGACTCCAACATAAGTGTATGTAAACTTCCGACTTCAACTGTATATACAGTGTATATATTCTTTAAACAACAAATCTGAGGTGGCATGTGCCCAATAGGGCCTCTATGAATATCCCAAACGGATAGTAGCAGTTTCACCATTAAGGATTCCAGCTTTAAGATACCGTTTTTACTATTTAATTAGTGGATTTATACTTTTGGAGTTATTACCTCATTTCATCCTTTATCATTCAACATCAAATGAACTGTGTGACATACCTCGACATTATGTGAGTAAAATAAATGTTTTTTGGTTTAAATCAAGAAATTACATCTCAAGCCTTTTCTTGGAAACATTGGAAACACTTTGGAAACCTCTCTGTATGGTGTCAGGAATTGGCCTATATTAGAATCCTGGGACATTGTTGGAAGCCACTACAAGATTTTCCAAGAACACGTCACAATGAGTAAGCAGCAGCGAAATATGGTTTTGTGGTTATAGTCCGCCCTGAGATTGGAAGGTTGGGAGTTTGATCCCAGCTGAATCAGGGGGTGTACTTGTACATCAAGCTGCCTCATGCTACAGGAGATAGGCTGCTGTTCTGGCTTGTGCAAGGCTACTTACTTTACAGTAACACAAAATGCCTGTCCAGTGAGTCCATTCAAGGGATCAGCATGGTGGATTTGTTGAAAATATGCCAGAGTCTGCTGTAAAACTTTGCAAGACCCTCAGGAAATCAACAAGAGAGACCTTTTTGCCATGTCAAGTAGACAATCAAATTCAATCAATCATATGAATTTATAAAGCCCCTTTGAAACAGAGCGGCTCTCCAGTTGGGCTGACACCTTTCCAGGTCAGAGGAACAAGGCAACCTCATAGACAGTTACACACAAGATGGAACTTTATTTCCAGAAGACATAATGAGATGGATGTGGTTCTGTACAAAGAGAGACATTAATGAATATACTGTACATAATAAACTTAGCATGACAATGAATGGGTAATCAGATATGATAGCACAATAGCAATAATAATATGGTCTGTATAAAGTGATATATCACTATAGTCGCATAAGCGAAGGACTGTATAACACATAGCACAACTACTATGAACAACTAACAATAGACAGATTGTAACTGTAAACAGTAAACACACAAGTTACAATAGTAACATCAACTCACTTCTGTCCACACACTCCATCAGACACATCCACTTGGAGAAAGGTGGCTGTGACCTGAGCAGGCAAGAGTACTGTCAGGAGTCCGCCCGCTAGCAACCACCTGACCCTAGCAACCTATCAGTGGCCTGGTCACAGAGGTTGCTGAGAATTTGGGGGCCCAGTTTGGGGACCCCCTAGTCTCTCTGGCACCGTTGGGGGATGGATGTAGTGAGCTGCACGAAGTGATAAGACTCATAGGCAGGGGAATCCGTAACACCTTTTGTATATCAGCAGTTGTCACAAAGTGCTTTTAAAGTAATCCCATATAATATCATATTGAACATCGAATTATAGGATCTCTATTAAGTTAAAAGAGATCCTAAAATTCTATGTTCAATATGTTATTCTATGGGTTTACTTTAATAGTATTAACTCTGCCTTCCTTAACCCTAAAGAGCAAGCAAAAACAGAACCAGAGGCACATTGGCTAGCACAAATCCCTAGAAGGAAGAGACCTAGAGAGGAACCCGGCTCTCTTCTGTACCTGCTGTACAGCCTATCCAGTGCCAGTGCGTTTCATATTGTGTATCTTCCTGTCTCTTTCTGAGACAGTGCTGTCTACTTCTCAGAACCTAGCCAGTAAACAGCTCACTGTGAAGAGTCTGTCTGTTCCCTCTATCTCTCACAGGAGGTGCTTCGTTATTTCCTCTCCTTCTTATTATTTCACCTTTCCCTGACATTCAGTGATTATTGATGATGTCTCCTGTCTCGCTGTGAGGCCGCCCTTTGACCGGTGGACACGTCTTGTTTCGCGGCAGATAAATGAAAACATCAGAAACCCATATTGATTTCATAGCCAGGGACCAAGACTAGACACGCTGTCAGGGGCGCTTCGATTGTTTTCTCTCTTTTTTGAAACCAACTACTCTCCTCAACTGGGAGGCCAGGCGAGAGTACTGGCTGCTGCACAGACAGAAAGAAAAACTAAATAAGTCATTCAATTATTAATTGGGCCAAGGAGGAGGGGTCAAATGAGTCGATGCCTGGTATAATAGTACTCTGTGGCATTTTAGAAGCAAGGATGAATTATAGAGACAGCTCAGGTTATCTTTACTATCAGAAGTTCACATCACATCCTGGAGCTGAATGGAATGCAGGTTTATTGAATTTGTATCGAGACAGAACAAAAAGGCCACAATAAACAGGATAGGGGTTATCACGCTGTCAGTGGGTAGAATGGGGTTCAGGACAAACACCCATGAGGGGCTATTAAGTCCCCAGTGTTGTTGTCTGTGAATAAAGACATGATATGCTTTACAGGTAATCTCTGATGAAGGAATGGTTAGGGACATGGCTAGGGAGAGGGACTGCAGTACTGGATTAGGGTTAGGGATTCTGGATGGAGATATTAAATAAATTAATAGAAAAGTTCTCATGAAAAATTATAAATTGGTATTTTCAATTAATGGACGCAATTTGAATTGGAATTGAGCTCAGGGGCTCCTGAGGATCAAAAGCTGCATTCACACAGCTGATCTGATTGGTCAAAAGACAAATTAGTGAAAAAAAGATCAGAATTGGGCTGCCTGTTTAAACACAGCCAAAGAGCCTGAGAGTAATGCATCTGTAACCTACTTAGCAGTGTCTCTCTGCAAATGGTCACATGGCTACTGTAGTGGATATTTCAATTTATCAATGGCAAGTGGCTCATTGTAATTCATTGCCTATGATCTTTTCCTCTCTCTGTGTCATTTTATTTCAGGAGTAAATGTCCTATTTGATGTGATGCATCTGCCCAAAACTAAGTCTGTGTTTAGACAGGCAGCCCAATTATTATATTTATTTCACTAATTGGTCTTTTGACCAATCAGGTCAGCTCTGAAAAATATCTGATGTGATTGGTCAAAAGACCAAATAATGGAAAAAAAGATCAGATTTGAGCTGCCTGTGTGAACGCAGCCTAAGTAGCTTTTAAGCAAGTGGTTAATGCGTAATTACCTAATCTTTCCATAGATGACTTGAGGGACACAACATATGAAGGACAATGACAAACTGCAGTCTTTTAATGCATTAGCATATAATATTCAATGGTCAGACATGCCCGGATTTAAAATAACAACTTGACCGTTCCTCATTACCAACGGTTAATATCTGCATCAAGCCAAATCCCCAGTCCTGTTCTCTTCATGTAGGCCCTGTCGACATGGTGAACTTGGGGAGAGTGACACACTGTTTAAATCCTTTAAGATTCATTAATTCATGCTGTCATCCTCCTGGAGGCTCAGAGTACCTGGGGTCCATTAGGCATGATGCTCATCTCAGGGGGAAGTAGAGGGATGGAGGAAGGAGGTAAGGAGGGGACCATGGGGTAATGGAGCTCTTGGAGTTAGCTTAATCCCTAGGATCAGAGAAATCAATGGAGAAATATCATTTAATTTAGACCCCCTCCAATCCCCCCCTCGTCTCCTCTGTCTAAGTGGGTAGAGGTCAACGACAGAGAGGCGTCTGTCTGGTGAGACGTGACTGAAGCCTCTGTTCCTCCACTGGTTGATCACACATGGGTCAGCAGTCCTGGATCTATGCATCTCTATCAGTCTGAGAGAATACCCCGGGGGCTATTCACGTGTGGTTTGCTAATGGCTGGCGGTGACAGAGGGGGGATTTAACCATCAAAGCCAGTTCTTATGCACCTTTTTCCACTGGCCTTGAATCCTTCCTCTATCATCAGCCCGTCTTTTGAGTCCTTTTACCATTCTCTTCCACAGTACCTCCAGCAGAAGACAATGTTTAAGCCAATGTGGAAAAATTCATAGGCAAGACATTCGGCACGCACATGCACTGATACAGTTGAACAGTTAATGTGATAAAAAGACGATAACTAAAATGTTGATTGAATACAACTTGGTGTTTGGGCGGGAACAGTCCTTCATAGATAACTGGGGTCCCGGTTGGCTCTCCTGGATCGGAACCGGATCTCAGACAGCTTGGAGTTGATGCCGGTGCCAATCTGACCCTTCCTGGCCAATGGGAAGCGGGCCAGCGTGGCATCTGCGGAGGGAGCGAGGGACAGCACAACAACAGTTGGAGGAGGGAGGACAACGCAGGAGTGAGGAACACAGCCATTTTTTACTTTAACTGTACCAGTCAGATATCTTTCTAATGATCGAGAAAGTGAGTGTGTTGTTTTCACTTATCAATGAATGATCAAGTGAACTTGGAGAAAAATACAATGAAAAGTGGGTGAAGGTTGTTGGTAAGGCTGTTGATCAGGGAATGTGTCAATAACACACGTACTATAGATGGCGTTGAGCTTGTGTGGGTCCAGGGCGGTGCGGTGGTTGGGGAACGTTGGTCTGCGGCTCCTCCCCCCTCGCAGGTTGCTGTTAAGCAAGGTGTCCATGTCGAACACGCCCAGCAACAGGGTGCGCGCCATCGCTGTGGGAGACTGCGTCTGATTGGCTGCATGCCAGGACCGCATTTCACAGAAGACGCCGGAACCAGGGTATACCTCCACCTGGTTTACCTGCACAACCAATGGGGAGAGAGAGCAAATGTGATCAGAATTAAAAACACATTTAGACCTCCATAACCTTTGGAGGAGGATAGATATGTCAATGGTGGCTACGTTAACAATCTGTCTTTATTTGGAATGAACAGCATTTTTCCTTACATGGCCAGTCCCATTAACACAGTGTGTCTCTGAGCATGTCCTCATCACAGGTAGGTTGGATGCTGAGCCACACAGAGAGCTGTTGGGGTCGTCGTCCTCTGTGATGTCACTCAGCTCCAAGTCTCCGTCCACACTGTGCTCACTGACGGCCATCTCGGGTCCAAAGTTGGACACGCTTCCATTCATGTTGTCCTGAGTCAAAGCTGAGCGGTTGGACATGGGCTGATGATGGAGTGGAGAACTGAACCCTTGGCCAAAGTGTCCTGACACGGAGTGGTGGTGTGTGTACGTGTAGCTCTCGCCCCTCCCTGTTGCCGTAGAGACAGCCTGTGGGGACACTGCAGGGTGGGGGGGCTGGTTGGCTTGGCCCAAGGTCTGCCACATGGTGGACAGCAGGCCAGGGATCTCTGGGGGATGACACCACAAAGGAAAGAAGAAACATGCATGAGGGAATGTGATCAGTTCAGAGCAGTTTAATTATACAATTATATTGATTTTACTCATCCTCACCCTTCACTAGCATGTTATGTAGCCGTTGGTTTTCAGCCGCCATTTCGTCTTTCTCTTTCTCCAGTTCCCGAACCCGCGACCTGAGGAACTGGAGCTCTGCAGTGTGGGAAGGGTTAAATACGTCCATCTCCATCTTCATCCTCTGTGAAGGAAAGAGAAACGCAGATGACTGATGACTGAATGGTTTTGAGAGAGACTTTCCATCTACTGTATTGTATTGCCTAGATCTCTTATTTTTAAGTGATCTAGGTTGTGGCGTCAAGCAGTCTTTAAGTGGCTACAACAGAACGAAGAGGTTTCTGTACTCAGTGCAACAAACACTTATAACACCTCCCACCTATGGCTCTGTCACTGTCTTATGTGACCACACAAATCTAGGGCTGTGACGGTCATGGAATTTTGGATAACGGTTATTGGTCAGCCAGATGACCATGGTCACCGTTATAAGGGACAGTTAGAAAATTACTGGTAGTGTCATTAATAAAAAAGCACTCCCCTCCCCAACGTAACAAATATGATCACATGACCCTCCCTTTGTACTGTAAAAAACTGACACACCCTCCCCCCTCATTGAATTAACTCAAAAATAATGATTACGACCACAAATAATAACTGTAGCGACCCTGTGTTTATAAACATGGATATCGACTGTCACTTCAGCATGCTTTTGTGGCACAGTGATGACACGCAGGGTTACGGGCCAGAAGGTTGAGGGTTCGCCGACCACCATGGATACAGCTCACTCTCCCTGCCTGTTTAATTACACTACGATCAGAGCCGGCTGCAGACAATGATCAGCTAGGGGGAAATCAGATTTTCAATATTTTGATGCTATATTTATAATTATATAAAATATATGTAATTAATTTTCCACCAACAGGTTTCTGTGCCAATGCACCACACAACCATTAAGCAAAGCATAACTGCATTCCGATTACCAACTTCGAGCGACTTCAACATCATGGTTTGCGTTTTCAACACCACAATCAAATAGACTAGGCCTATGTCAATCTCGACAAACAGAAAATGCATCCCTCCCTACCCAGTACCGAAGGCTTGACAATCTCCAAATGTTATTACTCTTTTTGGTGTTTTGTAACAGATGTCTCTTTCCATTCATTAAATGGCCTGTGCATAGTTTGGATGCTGGAATTATATTGGAGTGGACGAATGTGCGCATGTAGCCTACAGGAGACTTTTGACGTAGCCAAATCAGATTAAAACATTGTGACTAATTATGTTTATGCCACACATAAAAGGTAATACATTTTAAAAAGTTAAATGACAAATATTTAGGCTATAATGAAGCGTTAGGTTCTAGGTGCGTGAGGAATAGCCGCTCGGATTGGAGAGGAGGCAGAGCGCGCATTACGCTTTCCTGAATAACTGGGCCTGGAGCATATGTGGCCACATTATTATAGAAAGACTTGGGAGAATGATGATCCGCAACAGACAGCGCATTTTAGTATCAGAAGTAAAAAATACAGCCAGACTGGCCTGCTACTGTGCCTTTCTAGACCTTATAAACTGTCGAGAATAGACCCACAACTGATCCAAATGGAATGAAACATTAAAATCACAGTGCTTTTGCGCTGTTATTCAAATGACATTTTCACTGCAGTTTCAAGCCTGGAGTACAATTTTGTACTCACTTGAAAACAATAATGCAATTATTCATTGCATTGTGGTGTTGTAGGCTAATCTAGGTAGGATACTTTTACTGTCCCTAAACAAGATCAATAGGGGAGCATTTTGAGCTGCGTGTCTCATGTCTTCACTGTCCTTTCATCCGCAATGACGCACCTTCCTCTCCACTGCCTTGAGCTACTCCCCTTGTTCTTGTGGATTTATATAGAACATTGGTGAAGCTTTCAATGATTTTATGTGTGGTATGGAAACGCCCATGTCAAGATCCCAGAAAAGTGGAAGAGGGCATTAAAATCATTAAATTGCAGTTCTTACAATAATAAAATGGTAACCACCATTTTTCAATAGGGCTATTACAAATGAAAAACAGTCTGACATTTAAAAAGCAATAATTTCCCTAAAGGCTCTGTGTATCATAAAGCTACTTCTAAGTTTAAATGTGTCATCTTTGACAGAAAATGGTGACAGACATTCATAGAGAGTATAAATAACAGCATTTAAAAAAGCACTGCCATTAACAAGGTACCAAAACAAGCTAAGCTAAAAAATAATTGGTGAGCTTAATTATATAGGAAATACTTAGAATTCCCCTCACACGGAAACTAATATGTCACTACAAAGGCTTTGATGAACATTCGATTAAAATTAAGTTTCATTGTTCTTAAAGTTATCTATTTGTTTTTTTCCACTATTTCAGGAAAATAAAATGCTGGAGATTATGGTTGCTCCCTCAAGGGAAAGGAAAAAATACCAAATATTATAATCTGTCATCGCACTCATTAATATGCAAATTGGATCGTGTTTAGTCAATCATTTTACCGTGCAAGTTGGGTTGTTATATGCCACATCATATTTGAAGAGATGCTGAAAACATTACGTTGATGCATTTTCAATTTGAATATTAATGAAGTTTACATCATTTACCGGTTCCTGGGATTTAACAGGTCCCTGCGTTTATTAAAGTGTACACAACACACATTTCTACAAGGCAGTGCTTCAAACAAGGCAATCCTAAGAATCCCATTATTTTAGCAGTTCAGCTGTATAGTATTTTTTGTGGATCCCTCTGAGAACAGTGAAATAACATCTAGTGATACATCAATCTTACATTTTTCATACAATTTCTATAGGTAGAGAATACAGAATGAAGCTGATACTACAATCATCTGAGGTGACTTTAATTGAATCAAGCCCGTTTCAAACACTTCCTACATGGATGAACAAAAATAGGCCTATGGTTTGCAGTTAGCCTACTTGGACTAATATGGGAATGAGTGAGCGGCCTTCAACAAAAGGACATTGATTTCGTTAATTATTATTCTATTAAATTATGTTCTAACACAACTTGATGTACACGCATATGTAAATATATTTTAGTTGACATCACTAGTCTGATATCTCTAAAAAGAGTGTCAAACCTGGGCCGCGTTCAGCAGCGGTGCTGTTCTGAACGACCAATTGAAGAACGCTGTGATTATGGTGGCCCAATGGGCGATTGTGTTATGATTATGATTCATAGCTATTAAAGGCCTTGCCCAAACATTTGTCACTTATAGGGAGATGGCTTTGTGAATAAGAGGCTTCTTCACCTGAGATTGGACTCTAAAGATGTTTGTTGATGTTTTTAAAGATGTTTGTAGTGTAACGGAGGTAAGAACGTGCCATAAGCTCACTCCACAGCTACCTTGAAATATCTCCAATGGTGCTTTCGAATAGCTTAACTGGTTCGTGCATTGTCAAGTGGGCGGTCACGTGTGCTGGCTAGGCAGAGGGCCCCAGGTTCAAGCCATGGTACGGACAGTTTACCCTGAGTTGTACTCAGAGAGGGAGAAAGCTAATACTACTAAGCTAAAACATTGACGCCGGTTTCACTGCTGCCGTGACACAGATCCGCAGTTGGGCTCATCTCAACGGCTGGGGTTGCTGTGGAGCGAGTTTAGAGGGGGTGAGTGTAACGGAGGTACAATAAGAATGTGCCATAAGCGAACTCCACAGCTTCACTACATAGGCTAGGTTCACTACATTCACCCCCCTTTGACCTATTCCCCCACAAGAGACCACCCCATGTTTGGCGCCATTGTCACAGGAAATGTAAAACATGCATCTTACATCAGATCATCTTGAACCTTTCTCTGTAAAGCTAACTTTCATCAAGGTTATAAATGGTCTATAATTGGTTGCTCTCTTTTCATTGTCAGTTTCCTTTTTTAGCGTTATGATGGATAATAATTTATCATACGTTATACCGATTAACATCTTCACATTTCCCGAAAAATATTAATGACAAGACACTAATTACAAAAATGTTCCACAATGTCGGCAATAATGTATTACACAAAATACACAACATGCGCAGCATCAGATTAGCAAAAAAACAAAATGGCACATTATCCAAACAGGTTGGCTTTAGCCTAGTGTATTTACTTCACACAAAGTCGCCATAAATTCAAAGCACACGCACAAGTCACTGCCGGACTGCACATGCGCCCCAAATGCAGTTAATAAGCCCTACAGGAAACCCCTACAGTATAGTCTATAAAAGAACATGTGCCTATTTGAGCTGTCATTGTGACTCTTCAGACAGTCACACATTTGATAGACCTATGCACAATTCACTACATAGGCATCTCTGTCACGGACATAAAGTCTGTTAACAAATCAGAGGCATGAGGGAAAATTCTATCTTCTCCTGTCCTAAAGCCTAAGCTATTTTCCTATCCAGTCCCAATCAGACTGAAAGCCAAAATCCTGACTCCTGTCTAGCATGAAAATTCCTAACGTTATTCTGTAATCCATCGGTTGCATTATCAAAGCAAAATACTGCTATAACATTCCCGCCAAAATCTTTACATAGTGGCACAGCCAAGCCAACAAGGTGGAGCAGTGCCCCTCTTATTGGCGGGAGAATCCTGCCATAGTGACCATATCTTGCTTTTAAACACTTTAAATGGGTACTTTTATTGCGGTATTTCCCTAATATCTTAGCTTCAAAAGCTTGTGCATTCACCACATTGTGTGTGCTTGTTCTGGGATTTAATTTCTTTAGACTTTTACTAAAGCAATTGTTGATATCTTGAAAATGTGTTCTAGCGAAGATTCTCATGGAAAATATATGCTGAAATGGATTTCTCATACATGGCAGTACTATTTTTAGATAGTGTTTATCAACAATATGTGAATAGTCCTGGAGTGTTTTTTCTCCCAAATGAAAGCCACCCCCCAAAAATACTGACTTCATCCAGTGTCCAGAAAAGTGGATTAGGAGTATAGGCACATGTATATTGTATCATTAGCATATTTTGTAACAATATTTCTGAAACATTGTCATATAACAAAATCTTATATTTGTGTCTACATTCAACTGCTAAAGGTACATTTTTATACATATATATATATATATATATATATATACACACAGTGCATTCGGAAAGAATTCAGACCCCTTCCCTTTTTTCACATTTTGTTACATTACAGCCTTATTCTATAATGGAT